TTCTCTCTCTCTCTCTCTCTCTCTCTCTCTCTCTCTCTCTCTCTCTCTCTCTCTCTCTCTCTAATTTGCGCGAATGATACAGGGTAACAGGGCGCATGATGCTTTATTTCACCAGCACCCCAATAGGCTGGCAACGGCCGACGGCGAGAACAAAACCGTTTTTTTTGGTGTGTGTGTGTGTGTTTTTCTGCTTCCATAACGGCATGGTGGGGTGCCTCCGGTTTTTTTTTTTTTTTTTTAAGTCGAAACAACACCCTGGACATGGCTCACAAACCCAAAAACTGCCCCAAAGCGAACAAATGGCACGCCTAACACAAACGAAAATCAATTTTTAAAAACAAACATATAGGCAGATGCCCATAGACACCCCCAACACACCAGCCAAAAAAAAAAAAAAAACGTCTCGCTCACCGTGAACGCCATGAGCTACAGCCGGTCACGACCGACCTTCGTTCATGGACCCCGTGAACGGTGAGCGGGGGTACGGCACTAGTTCTCATGGGACGTGGGGACGCTTGCAGATATTTTTGTAAATGATAGCGTTTTTGAAAGTTTATATTACGGCAGCTCGTAGCATTTAATTTAGATGTAGTTCAATTTTAAGTGGGCTAGTAGCATTTAATTTAGACGTAGTTGGATCTTGTGTTTACAATTTTTCGCATGTGTGCATACAATTTTCGACTTTTAAATAAAGTTCATATGATACTTTCATATTATTTTCACAATCCGAACCTCATTCTGTGATTCTCTCAATTTATTAAACATTATTGTTTTTTTTTTATAATTATGATATTTCTCGAAGTACGACGGAATCCATAGTACTCACTTGACTTTCAGTTTATGACAATGGCATGTCAGTTATGTCTTGTAAGATACATAATTTGTCGAAGTGCGACGGAATCCATAATTAAACCAACTTGTTTACTGTGTGATTGCATTGACTCTTCGATTCACTTCCAATTTTTGTCAGTCACAATCTCATGAAAAATACGTCCGACTCAATGCTCAGTGATATACAAAATTAATCAAAGTGTAATAAGATGCATAAGTAATTCACAACCTTCCCGTTCAGTGTCTCATTGCGTTCACCGTTCTCTTGAATTTAAATGTATGACAATGACATGTCAATTACGTCTTTTAAGTTACATAAATTATCGAAGTGCGACGAAATTCATACTTAAACCATATCGTTTACCGTGTGATTTAATTGACTATTCGATCCACTTTCAATTTCTGCAAGTCACAATGCCATCTAAAATACGTCCGACTTAATGCGCAGTGATATACAAATTAATCGAAGTGTGATGAAATGCAGAGGTCATTCACAACCTTCTCGTTCAATTTCTCATTGCGTTTACCGTTTTTTTGAATTTCAATGTATGACAATGACATGCCAGTTACGTCTTCTAAGTTACATAAGTTATCGAAGTGCAAAGAAATCCATACTTTAACCATCTCGTTTACCATCTGATTGCCTTGACTATTCGATTGAGTTTCAATTTATGCAAGTCACAATGTCATGTAAAATATGTCCGACTCAATGCTCACACAAAATTGATCAACGTGTGATGAAATCGAGAGTTCAACATAATTGTTGTTCAGTGTCTCATTGCATTAACTGTTCTCTTGAGTTTCAATTTCTAATAACTCCGTGTCAATTACGACCTTTAAATTACAAAATTTATGGAAGTGCAATGAAATTCACACTCAAACCATAATGTCCAGTAGGTGATTGCCTTGAATCTCCACTTCCGTTTCGATTTATGGCCTATCAAAATAGTATCAATTGCATTCTTTGGGTTCACTAATCGTACCAATTTCAAGTCCAAAATATGGTGCTTTTAATATGAAATTAATAGCTTACAAGTACCAATTTAAAATATAATGTCCTCTTTTAACGAACATCATGTTAACAACACTCCGACCTCATTCCACGCGGAGATGGCACTCGGTCCCCTGCTTGAACCTCGCCTCCTGGATGATGGTCAGCTTGTCGTCGACGACCTCCTCCACCACGCTGACGACATCTGACATCTCTCTCTCTCTCTTTCTCTCTTTGTCTTTTTTTTTTCTCTCTCTTTCTCTCTCTCTCTCTCTCTCTCTCTCTCTCTCTCTCTCTCTCTCTCTCTCTCTCTCTCTCTCTCTCTCTCTCTC